AGCAACGTGCTCCAGTCTTTATACAACAATCAAGTCTAGATATGTCTGGCACTAGTATCGCTCTCGGGAGACGGTCAATTCAATCGTCGGCTAATGAGGTCACGCCGCTCACGCGGCGAGAATCGTCGCGCGCGGCAGTTGCTGCGGCGATTTCTGTGTGGACCTTCTTATCCATCCATGTCCATAAGTTGGCTAGGTGACTGATAACACCAGAGTGCTGGACATCAGTAAGCCAGCAAGCGTCACTGTAAGATCTCCTGCAGTGATTTAAGCCTCACAGTACAAAGGTTGTACCATGTAAAGGTTGTCCTTTTGAATTTAATTTGACTTCTTTATTAATCAGCTGCCTGAATTTCTATCAGAGAGTGATAATCTGGTTCAATCGGAAAGAATATTACGTTCCAAGACACAGAGGAACGGTGAGGAAGGCTCTAACATAAGCATGATATGATAAGTATGTAATAATGGCGAGCGAAAACGAAACTGCATTTTAAAGGGTTAAGGTGGTTCCTATTTCCATGTTTCATGAAGGGAAACATCATCTAATCTTACATTCCCCAATGTTTGGATGCTGAGTTCTTTGCAAATTCGCCGCGATATTGCTGGCTGCGGCGGCTGGCGCGGCGACCTACTTACTGCCACGATTGAATCGTCACGCACCCCCAAACCCAGGGTGTGGTTCACTAGGACAGAAAGCGACTTTTCGCGTTTCGCAGCGCGAAACATTTTTCGCTGCGGGAACCTCAGGTCCACCGCTGATCATGAGTGGACCTTGGTTCCCGCAGCGAAAAAAATGTTTCGCGCTGCAAAACGCGAAAGGGGTCTATTCCAGTTAAGGGGGCATCATGATGCAGTTTCTCGGTGAACTCGAACATTCCAGCTTTTCACGCATGTCAAGTGACTGCCCTCACCCCCACCCCCCTAGACTGGCTACACTCCCCCTGGCTCGGAGTTACCCTAGCTTTCTGGAAAAACTGCATCATGATGCCCCTTCTGGAATAGACCCCTTGAAATAGTCGCTTTCTCTCCTAGTGAACCACACCCTGTCACAAATACCCCCCAGCTTTCTCGTTGAACTTTGGCACAGCGGACGACTGACCCTGAAGACGTTAGCGACACATTTACGATTCAGCAAAGCAGCATATGAGGCAATCGGAATTCAAGCGACAACAAGAATGGTAAGTGAACAGTTTCCGGACGAATTAAGAAGAATCACAGAGATTGCAAAAATAATTCCGATTTTCCATTCGCGCCTTCATTTATGGCCATGGAGCGCGGCAAGCGCACCCAACTATTTTCACGTCCTTCCACTTTTCGACCTCGCGTTACCTGTTTCATCCTAGTGATTCTGCCCATCAATTGTCTGTTTCGTAGCGATGGAGCAGGATTTTGGCATTACAAATTATCTTGGAGATCGTAAGATCAGCGTTCCTTGCGTTTTGAAGGAGCTGTATTCTGATTTCATTGTTCAGGAAGTTCTTGGTGAGTTCTTTATGCGCTCCTATTCACGATGGATTTCCTGCACTTCTCAGTCGCCGCAACTTTCAGAGGATAAAAGTGTATTACAACTGCGGACAGCGGATGAAATCAAGGGTTATGTCAAAGAGGAAGAGGAGAGAGGTGTTGATGAGTCGGTGGCAGCACCCTCCTTCATGAACACCGAGCAACTGGCAAGCCTAGATGCTATGAACAAGGACTCAAAGCCGTTGTTGATATCTTGTGAGGTGTGTCGTTCACCGTTTCCATATCCGTTACATCATCCTATTTGTTTTGCCATCTTATACGGGGATACTCCATTGGTCCTGGGAGCTAGATTTCTTGATCATGATCCCCTCAGGGCTTCAGCAAGGACGACCGCAGAGCCTTGCATGAATTCGTGAGGCTGCGATATCGTGGAACGTTGAATACAGAGACAAAAGAAAATGCAATCGAGGTCAACTTCTGCGGTATTGGAAGTCGAGCCAGGTTTGTGTTACTTTTTTAAAATATGCATTGTTCTTTCGTAGTAATCTGACCACATTCAGAAAGCGAAAGCGATGGCACAAAGATTGTCCTAATCAATGTCATTTCACCTTGGCTAAAGAGAATAAGGATACTAGCTACGCTCTCGGAGTTCTAGCGAAATTTCTTAAGTCAGTTGTTTACTTTCACATTTATTTCCCCATGACGTTCTGTAGTCTTTTGAGTGAGGAAGGGCATTGTTGCAGTTGTCATAAAGCCTACAGTTATCTCAGGTTTTGTAGGGAAAGGAAGCTCCGATTCGAGTGCTAAAGGGTAAGCGAAGTGGTTCACACACCCCCAGAGCTTCCTTCCCCTACAAAAATTGAGGTTGCGTAGGCAGTACGAACCAATACAACTAGTATAATGCCTCCACGTTTGGCTAGACCATAGCTCAGATTTTGTAATATTTCAGTGTCACTGTAAACAATTTTCGGACTCATGGAATCAAAGATCGCCGTGCTATTACGTGTCAACGTGTCAGCTGTAATCGGATTGAGAAGGTTTTTGTTCTTTGAAGATTCTGTTGAATCAGGTTGTTTCCTTGAAATTTCAAACATGAGACAAGTCTATCCCAGTAGGTAGGGGACCTTGCAATGTAGGCGGTCAATCCACATCACTTCCACCTCCCCTCCTTGTTGAGGTAACCCCATAAACTTACTTCTTTACTACAACATCTTAAATTTACTCAAAGACTGTGTCAATTAATAATCAAGCTGTCATTATCAGTATAAGTATAAGTTTATTACGTCAGCAGAAGTTTGTCATTCAGTCATTGTGCTTAAACTTGGTAAGAACCATGTTTAATTGCAAAACCCTTCCTAAGATGTCATCTTTGGCTGTTTTGAAAGACATATTTGTTATTTATAGTGATGCATATTGGTAATGACTGAATGGCGGCAGAATTCTCCCTTCGTTTATGGCCATTTATGATTGTTTTTTGTTCCTGTTCAAGCAGTATGCATTGTTCATTTTTTGAGCTTGATAGCATCCACTTGGAGAATTGGAATCAAGAAAAGGCGTACTCTACTGTTCGAAAAAAAATTTTGTACAGAATAGCCTTTTTCTGTAGTAAGCTTTTTCTATACAAAAACTTGCAGATTTGGTGGGGCTAGAATTTAGCTAAGGATTCCACTACTGATTGCACTTTTTCTTCTACCACGAACTCGGCACGCCGACACACGCGTTATATGGGGCTTTGACAATGTAAAAATGAATAGCTAGGCTCTCACTTCAGTTTTCATGTCGTTTTAAAAACTGTGTCCAGCGTTAGAGACTTCGCCGGCCGCGGCTACTTTTTTCCAGGATTATGAGAAAACCTTGCCTCCTCAATGACGCGCTGGGTGTGGTTCGCCAAAACAGGAAGCCTTTTTCCGACTTGCAGATTTATTGCTGCGGAAAGCTCAGGTTCACCCCTGATCATGAGAATTCTTGGTGCTAGTGGGTGGGGGGACCACGCGGCGGCGCGGCACTTTGCTCGCCTGGCGCTCTCTCGAGCGAGGTAGTGTAAACTCGAACATTTCCAGCTTTTCACGCATGTCAAGTGACTGCCCTCACCCCCCCCCCCCAACCCTCTGAGCTGCCTACACTTCCCCTTACGGATACCCCGAAGTACGCAAAACGCAAACATGCCAGGCGGTCAGACTGGCGTGCCGCCGCATGTCCCCCACCCCAATCCACTTAGCACCGGGGGCAGGTCTCTGCAGCGAAAAAGTTACATGCTGAAAAGCGAAAAAGTCGCTTCCTGTCCAAACGACTCACACTTGCCCACACTCAACCGTTTTATGCAGGCCACCCCTCGCCTCAAGCATGATTTGCACACCTCATGCTAATGCTCTTAACACCAAATTTCTACTTCCTGAATTCTTCTATGAACATATTATGATTTTTTTAGTATGCAACACCCATCCTTAGACGCATGATTCGCCCACCGTAGAAGGGAGGTTTCACTTGGCTGATGTGTGTTTCGTACGTCTTGGCCTTTGCCCTACCTGTGCGGACTTAACACGGCCTTTCCTGATAGTTTCTCTAGTGATACGGTATTTCGTGACTGGCAGACAAACAGAAAGAAGAAGCGAATTATTTCAATTGAAATGTTGTACTAGTTTTAGATACCAGTTACCTGAAAAGAAATCTTTTTTCCGGAGTGCTGTCACTAGGAGATGTTTAACAAAGACTTGTAAATCTAATTGGTATTCAAAATTTTCTTCGCTGTGAAAATCTTAGCTCCCTTCGTATCGAATTGATAGTGCGTGATCATCTAAGAGCATTTAGGA